GCAAACGTATGGCTCGGCAGACACGGAGTACGAGGATGAAGAATTCCAAGGTTCAGCATCTCAATACCAAACGCTATGCGAAGGCATCCAGGAGATTCCGCATTCTTAAGAAAATCGAGTTGGGTGGACCCCAGATGGCCGCCCACTATGGGCACCAGGTCCATGGGCTCCCCAAGTCCTCGGTTTTGGAACTACGTCGGCGTCTTGGGGCCGTTGCTGGAGGGAACAAGCACGGTCGCGACCTCACGACGCTGCTCGACCTCAGAACTCCCATGAAGGACCCTGGGTACCAGCTCCCCTGGCAGTTTCTGGAACAGTGGCTTCGCACGTGGATTGAGGAGCCACGTATTCATGCCCCAGTTGCGCGAGTTTGGCAAGGCATCGTTGATCATTTCAAAGGCACCGAACCACAGCATCGAGCAAGGCATGTTCGAGGCCCTGTTTCTGGTCTCATACATTATTATCTTACGCAAGCAGGGTGGGGCCCACATGGCCCATCAGAGTGGTATCTTCCAGCAGATCGAGCAGACCCAGCAGGCGTCATCCCAGGATGGAAGTTCGACGCCAGCCAGCTCGAGTCAGTTGCGGAGGCCACCGACCTGCTCAATGATTTTTCAGCTACGTTCAGGCGCCAACTCTGGTCCGAGGCCTCCCGCACGTTCTGCGGAGGTGGAATTGAGGGTGGCTTGGACAACTACAGTTTGAGGAAGCAGCTGACCCAACTTGAGGCCCTCCCTCAAGGACGACGGTTGGCTGAGATGCTCCTGGTCATCGCTGTCGGTGGTGCCTGGACGGAGTCACGGCGCAAGGAGGGGGGATATGAATGTTCGGGCCTGTGTGAGAGATGTCCAGATCAGGTTGAGGAGGCCCCCTTACATCGATATTGGCAGTGCTCATGCAATGAAGGCGCACCCATTTTCGACATGACTGAAGACCTGAGCCACCGTGCAGTGACTCAGGCCAATTTAGCAGAATGTTTTTGGTTCCGTGGGCTGATACCCGCGGAATGGACACGAGTTGATGAGCCGACACATGTGGAGAGATGGAAAGGCTTGGGACAAGACCAAGCTGACACGTTCTCTTTCGGCTCTGGGACAATTGGACAATCCATTAGTTCTGTTTGGCGATGCATCTGGAGGCGCAGACACACACACGATCCACGACTTCGTCGAGTTGGGTTGGCTGCTGGAGCGTTCTCATTAGATGTGAATGATGAGCTTCCATACTTGTTGGGCCCTCTTCCTGGTGACCGACAGACGGTTGCACGAGGGGAGCTGTATATGTTGGAAGTCTCTATCCGTTGGTCCTCGGGACCAACAGTATATGTGACGGACAACGAGGAGGTCTGTCGGGGGTGGTGGGCGCGAGCGTATGAAAAACCTGGTGGCGCCAATGCCGACATCTGGAGGGCTATTAAGAAGCATCTTGTTCATAGGCCTTGCAGTGAGATAGTTGTCTTGAAAGTCCCCTCACATGTGGAGGCCCAGTGTATCGTCGAGCTCGGGATCCCGTCCTGGATGATTGCTGGCAATGTGTATGTGGACACCTTGGCTGGTATCGCTGCCGCCGAGGCCCGCCTCCCTGAGTGCCAGAGGGCACAGGTGCTGCGGGTTGAGAACGATGTTCGGCTTGTTCGCATGCGTTTGTTGCGAATTTCCCTTCAGACAGCTATAGGCACGGCCAAGAGGGCGCACCCAAAGGCTCCTGCCATTCCGCCACCCCGACCTCGGGGTCGGGCTCTTCTGTGTTCGTCGCATCAGGTAGATAGCACTGGAAAAAATGCCAGATTTGTAAGGGTTCCGCCACTGAGGCCACTTTAAGGTCCTGGTTGGCCACTCCCTGTTTCCCGTTAGAAGTAACGACAGACAAGATCTCTAATTTGCCTGCTGGTCGGACTTTATATCTCGCTGGGGGTACGGTCCATGGTTCCCACAAGATGAGATATCATCAATCCCAGTCTCTTTGGTTTTGTGGCAGCTTTGGGGCCACAGGCCAAGCTAGGTTGAGCAAGAAGTTGGCTGGCCCATGTCAGCTCATCACTTCCACTGGCAAGGAGTATCTCCGTCGTTTAGAGAGATCTTGCGCCGAAAGTGCTCAGCAAAGCTGAGCGTGCGGCCAGGGCCTAATTTATATAGACTCGCTTCGCGACCGCTCTCATCTCATCTCACCTCCTCCTCCTTCTCCTCCTCCTCTCGTGCTGGGAAAGCTCCCCGCGTGATCGCCCAGTGTCGGCCTGTGCCCGCCGGTGGGCGATGCGCGCCCGCTCCGGGCCCGCCCGTGGGCGCCTCGCGCTGCCCACCACAACGCTTGCACCACGCAGATCCCACCACGCAGCTAGCACCACACAGCTTCCACCACGCAGTCTGCTCCACGCTTTCGCCACATGGCCTGCACCACGCAGATCCCGCCACGCAGCTAGCACCGCACGGCTTCCACCACGCAGGCTGCTCCACACAGCTGTCACCACGGGACTTGCACCACAGGAACCTACGCAGCGTATGGGGTCCACGCTCTGAGACATTGGTATCTCGCCCTTGGGAACAAGAACTCGTAGACCAACGCCTCCACCA